CTCTCATACTCATTCGAATTTTTTTTTCTGGTCGTGGCAATAAGCGTAGTAATGGCAATTTATATGCATTGCCCATTTTCATTTCCAAACGGATTTCCCGATTATTTCACAATTTTTATCATTCAAAGCCATCGAAATGTCGCGTTGAGTTCAAAAGTGCGCCATAATTCTTTGCGTTTATGTAAACCGTTCAATTCAATACTGTGTGTTAACCGATATGCACTCGCTGCTTTGTGTGTGTGTATGTGTGTGTGTGTGATCTGGTTTTTTCCTTCTCACGAACGTGACGAACATGAAAGGCGACAAAACCATTTGATTAGCGAGACTGCATTGACTTTTCTATATAGATTGGTGGAGTGTGTATGTGCGCGCATTGTAGACAACCGCACAATTTCCCATCGTGTGAATTTTATTAATTAATTTATCAATTTTTGGTTTAGAACTTCAAACCGCAAACTTTGTTTGTTTTAAACAAGTTATCGGAAGTTTGCGCTTGTACAAATAGATCGATAAATCATGAGTAAAATATTAGGCATTGTTTGAGGTTGGCGTTTGAAGTATTTTTGTTTGCATTTTCTCGGATTTCTTTTAGCTTGTTGTTGAGTCGAATTCCTCGAAGAACGACACATCAAAAAGAGACAAGAGCGAAAGAGGGAGAGAGAGAGAGAGTTGAAAGGAAAACATGAACCTTGCCTTGATCAAATCAATCGTCGGATTGTATTAATTACTTGAAAATTGTTTCTGTTTTTCTCCCGCGCTTAATTCGCTGAGTGAGAAAAGCAATGAAACCGTTTTCCAGATCTGTTGGCATAACAGTTAAGACGATTCGTTATAAGCTGATTCCGTACAACACCGACAAACGTTGTTTACATTGGGACGCGTCGAGACAAATAATACAAGTCTTCGTGATGTTGTTGTACTTGTCAAAGAAAGACGCTTTGATTCGCCAGAAAGATGTTTCAGCATTCAGTTTGATGGGTAATCGGTTTTGTGTGTGCTCTAATTAAAACAAAGCACCTTTAAGACGCTGACTCACTGCCAGACTGACACATTGATTTTTTCTATGCTGTTTATTCAACTGGTACCTAGTATGTGTAACTCTATACGAAATAAAATACCGTATTCATTTCAGCCATTCAATATTGATCGAAAAACTTACGCAACCTTCAATACGAAAATGTAGTAAATTGATTGTGTGCGGCGCTCAACTCACCTGTAAGGAAAGGAAGAAGAAATATTTGTTAGAATTGATTGGTAAAATTTCAACTTTTCAGAGAGAAAAAAATGAAAAATTCTCATTCAATAAGAAAAACAGCAGCAAGTAAGTGGTTCTCCCCGATTTTTAATAAGGTTTCAATGGAAGAGAGAAGTGATGTGGCGTCAAAAGCACCTTGCGGTCGTCTCAATTGCATACAGTTGTGGTTCGTTAATCATATCAAGAGATCAAAAACGGAGAGAGAGAGAGAGAGAGAGAGAGAGAGAGAGAGAGAGAGAGA